AGGAAGAGAAAAGTGTTAAGCCTCAGCGTAAAAGCAACGAGGCCAAGATGTCCTTGAATTTCGATAAAAACAAAAATCTGATTTATTTTTCCCCTGGAGTGTGCTCAACCATTCACACTAACCCTTTTTTTCTTTCTTTTTTTTCAATTGCTTAAGAGGATTTCTTCTAGCCTGGCAACACTGTCAGCACGTGCTTCTCAGCCTCTGGCAACACTCGCTTTATGTCTCATCTTATATTTTAGTCTTTTTAAAGTAGATAACGAGAAAAGACAGAGAAAATGAAAGGAATTAACCAGTATTTGATAATTCATTTTTATGTTTTTTATTGTTCTTATTATTCTGTTAAAATCAGCTTTCGTATATTTTTTATTGTCTGGTTTACTCATATTTGGTAAGAAATATACTCTGAAGAATTAACCGATTAGAAATTTTTTGCCTCATCTTGAATATACATTAATAACGTACAACATAACTAATATAACGTCATTGTCTTTTTATGTATGCGATGTATATAATTGTGACGTATAGATGTATTACTCTATTTAACGTTATTGGAGAGGAAATACATCGCAAGTAAGCACTATAGTAGTGAAGTAAATGATTATCTATCTAATCTATATACTATGTATTGTTATTAACGTATAGATGTATTACTCTATTTAACGTTATTGGAGAGGAAATACATCGCAAGTAAGCACTATAACAACATCTTGTTCTGCATAACATTTTATCCTACTGGTATTTTAACATTTAATGTCTTTAATAATCGTGTTATGTTGTTCTCAAACTGCAAGAATTATTGGAACAAAATCTTATCAGATTATAAAAGTGAGAGAATTACAAAGGGTAAACATTCTCTAGAAAGGTATAAATGAGAATGAATATCTTCACAATATGAGATGTATTTGACCGGTTTCGAATATATCTTCGTCAGAGATATACATGTATTTCTGACGAAGATATAATCGAAACCGGTCAAATACATCTCTTGTATGATGAAGATATTCATTCTCATTCATACCGGTTCATCTTAAACCCTCTCTGCCTCTCTCTCCTTCTCCTGCTCCTTCCATCTTCAAGAAAACTCTCTTCCTCACTCTTCTTCCTTCCGTTGCAACAATGACAAGAAGCTTAAACTAATTGAAATAGAGATAAAATCCCCAGATCTGCGCGAGAGCCAAAGAGACCGAACATGTCCCCTACGTAAATAAACAGCAATATCCGTATGTTAGTAGTCCCTCTATAAAGACGCAGAGGGAAGGAAAAAGCCGTAATGAGCAAGACCAAATTAATCCGTCGTTTCATTTCCGACGAAAGGGGCTTGAATCTACTCCAAGCCAGCGGTTCTCGCCCTCGGGACAAGAGCCACGAGAGCGCCACGTGTCCATGTTGACAATCTGAACCAGGCAACGCTCGTGTCACTGATTTTGACGAATTATGCAGATTTCACGTGATTATATATATATATATATATATATATATAATATATATATATATATATATATATATATTATATATAATATATATATATGTGTGTGTGTGGTGTGTGTGTGTGTGTGTGTGTGTGTGTGTGTGTGTGTGTGTCCTTTTTTAAACAATTTTAGAATGTGAAGCTATTGATTTTGGAGAAATGCTGATTTCACGTTAATTATTTTTCATAGCTAAATTCCACATGTCAAGCTAGTGTTTTTGAAAAATGCCTATTTGTATGTGTCTCAACTAGTGTAGGACAGTAATCATTCTCACTTAGCGATACCAGTGTTCGAACTTATCAAAATATAAGATAACGAGGTTTTCTCTGAATCTGCCTTTATATATTTCCGCAATATCTAAAAGTGAAATTAAACAAAATATAGGAAGTTATAGGACGTTGAATTCCTCAAAAAAGATAAAATTATAAAAAGTAGAAAAATAAAACAAGGTCTTAAAACTCATATTCAACCAAGACCTCAATGTAATAGATAGACAGAAGTATACAGATAAAGAGATGAATAGAGAGATAAACAGATACCTAGATATATAGTTCTGAAAGATATACAGATAAAGATATGGATAGAGAGAAAAATAGATACCTAGATATATAGTTCTGAAAGATATACAGATAAAGATATGGATAGAGAGAAAAATAGATACCTAGATATATAGTTCTGAAAGATATACAGATAAAGATATGGATAGAGAGACAGATAGATACCTAGATATATAGTTAGTTCTGAATATGATAATATCTTAGTTCCCAAGCTTGCGTGATGCATTGCTAAACACAACCCCTTCATTATTCCTTACAGAGCCACCATGACTTCATTATGAGGGAGAGAGACGCACAGCTGGCCATGGAGAGAGAGAAGATGGAGTTGGAGTGGCAGACGAGACTCACGGAGGTGGAAAACAGGTGAGACGAGGTCACGAGCGGGTGGAGGTGGGAGTGGAGCAGGTGGGTGAGGAGAGACGGAAGGTAAAGGAAGGAAGAGAAGATAGGAGATGAGAAGTGGGACGAATAGTGGAATGGACGTAGTTAGTAGGAGGGAATGGGGATAATAGAAAATAGAACAGGGGTGGGAATGTCTTTAGAGGAATTCATGATTAATGATTAATTAGTAGAAAGGATTGATAGAAGATAGAAGATGGGAACAGGGAAAAACAGGTGAATGGACGTAGTTAATAGGAGGAAATAGGAATAATAGTAAATAGAACGTGGGTGGGAATGGGTTTAGAGGAATTAATAATTAAGAATGAACTAGTAGAAAGGATTGAAACCCGCAATTGATGAATGGAAAGTAATTACTGAACAAGAATTTGTCAAAGGGGGAAATGGTGATAAATTTAGCATAAATTTTGCACGAAAGGGAGAATAAATAAGGAAAGATTAACGAAGAGACAATGAGCAATCAATTATGAGGGAAAATATGGGAATACTCATGTGTTACAGTAAATTTTTAAAATTTGTTTCATCAAAACAATTTTTAAGCACGATGTTTATGCTAATATTGACAAAGAAAAATCAGATTCATACCATCTCTATAAAATTCTAAATGAATATAGTAGCTTTGGTGATTATCTCAGCAGCGAAATGGAAATACGAAAAGAAGAAGAAAAAGAGAGGGAAAAAAGAGAAGAAGAAAACAGAGAGAGAAAAAAAAGAAAAAAAGGGACAAAAAGGAAAGGAGAAAAAAATAATTATTCTGATAAAGATAACACGTTAATCTAGATGCCAATCACTTTAACATTATCATGATATGAATATTAAGGATATTCATTATAAGAATATATAATATAAATTATAAGAATAAGAATAATTATAAGAATTAAACATATTCATTGTAAGAATATAAAGAAAAATGATATTGCTGTTAATAATAAAAAACACATTGATAATGATGAATATTAATGAGATGGTGATTACGGTGATGATGATGATAATGATAATGTGTCAGATTTATTACAATATCTGGAACAGTCTGAAAGAAATGATATGATAAAGCGAAGAGTAAGAACGATAATAACGATAAATAGAGTAATTAGCATAACGTCGTTAATTTCAGCAATATGGTTATCCTCTTATATTTTAGTCCCCCTTGCTACATTAAAAAACGTTTTCATTGTTGGGTGTTCCTTCTATTCTTAACGAGTCTCCCCTTTCATGCATAGAAAACGGGGTTAATTAACGGGATCTTGTGCATTATTATATATATATTTTTAAATTGAAATGAGGAACAGAATATTAGTTATTAAATCGTCAAATTCGAAAGAAAAATATAATGTACAGTAATGAGGGTAGATAATGTATAACTGTTTCAGTGTAGATCGATAGATAGATAGATAGATACAGGTAGATAATTATCAAATAAAGTGGAATCATTTGTGGTTGTGAATGATTTAATTGGACTTTCATTTTCAGTAAATAAGTTTGGTAATTAGCATTTTTTTTAGAATTGCCAATTCTTTGTTCGAAATCATTGTTGTCATTATCATTATCATCTATTATTACTATTATCATCATCATCATTTTTATTATCATTATTGATTTCATTATCATTATTGTTATTATTGTTATCATTATTATTATTATTGTTATTATTTATATACTATCATTATTACTATTATTATTATATTATTATTATTCATTATCATATTTGTTAATATCATGATGATGATCATCTTATTAGTTATATTACTATCATCACCATCATCATCATTATTTTACAATAATTACTATTAATTATTACTATTACTACTATCATCACCATAACCATCACCATCACCATAACCATTACCATCATTACAACCATTATTCATTCACCATAACCATTATCACCACCATAACCATTATCATCACCATAACCATTATCATCACCATAACCATTACCATCACACCAATCACCCTCACCATCACTATCACCCTAATCCAACCAACAATCCTCAAATTCCCCCCCCCCCCAAAAAAAAAAAAAAAAAATCCCCACAACTCAGACGAACCTCCAGATTCCCCCAAATCCCCCCAAAATCCTGCCCAAATCCCAAACGCCAACAATCCCCAGATCCCCCCCAAATATCCCCACAACTCAGACGAACTCCCAGATTCCCCCCCAAAAAAAAAATCCCCAAATCTCCAAATCCTCGAACGCCAAAAATCCCCAGATTCCCCAAAAATCCCCCAAAATCCCCCACAACTCAGACGCAACTCCAGATTCCCCTAAAAAATCCCACGAATTCAGACAAACCCCCAGATTCCCCCCCAAATCACCCCAAAATCGCCGAACGCAACATCCCCAGATCCCCCCCCCAAAAAAAAAAAAAAATCCCCAAACTCAGACACGCACCTCCAGATTCCCCCCAAATCCCCAACGTAACTCCAATTCCCCCAAAATCCCACGACTCAGACGCACCTCCCAGATTCCCCCCCAAAATCCCCCGAAATCCCTCCTCGAACGCCAATAATCCCCAGATTCCCCCAAACCCCCCCCCCCAAAATCCCCACAACTCAGACGCACCTCCCCAGA